GCAAAAAGTCCTTGAAAGCCACTTCACTAGAATCAGTTTTCAACGAGGAATTCGAAAAATTTAATTGTAAGAAGTAAAAACATAAGCGGAAAAAATTGTACGTCTTTTTTTGAAAAAGAAGGATTTTGGGCTTTTTCGACCTATTCTCAATACTTCGCATTTTTCTCCATCAAAATTTCACTTTTTCGAGCTGAGAAGGTGATATTCGTGATCAGCTCGACCTGGCGATTCAGAATATGTATAATAAAGCACAAAAAAACATGTCACTCGAAGTTTGCTTTACGTGCATCTTAAAAAATAATTATAAACATGTGTAGCATTTTTGCTACTATGGGACTCAAAGGGTTAAAGCATATGTTTAGTGTAAAATTTTTTCACGGATAAAAGTCTACAGAAAAAATGTATTTGATTTGATACATATACGCCTGACTTCATGTAATAATATTATATGGAAGAAAATCAATGTATATGTAGTATGTAATGTAGTATATTCGAAAAAGGAAAAATAGTTTTTATTTACGATTAGTTTAATTCTTGTGTCATCGATCCTTTCTTTTTCCGTTTAAACCCATCTTAAAAATAAAAAATTTTCTTCATGTTTTGTTTTTCTATCGCTCAGTTTTGTCAAAAAACAACATAATAAAGAATACTAAGATGTTGTCAAGCTAGTACCAATAATAGTTTTCACTGTAGGTCAATAGTCTTTTCACAAATGCACAATCTGTCACGAAGGTAGGTAGCTTCCTGTCGATCTCTTCGGTAAAAATAAACGAAAAACTTTACTCTGTTCCTACTTTGCGTATTTTCTTGCTTTGAGATTATCTAACGCATACTGATGATTGTCTCATCCATACATGTGAAGAGAATCCCTGATGAAATGAAGCAAATCCACTCGCATACTTTTTGTGGTCTAGATCTTTCACGTCGAGATGTGTTACTTCTTCGATAGACGCATAAGCTGTCTATTGCAAATTTGAAAAATCGAGTTTTTGTACCATGGCGTAAGAAAATGTATGCTAAACATGATTAGTTGTCTTTATCAATGTTTGGAGCCAGTTTAATCAGGAAAACTTGAGGAAAACTATAAAGTTCACTTCTCTCATATATACATTTCTTCCGAATAGATTTGGTTACATCGAAATTGTTCATGCACAATGGAATCGTGTAGACGAATTATGTTAGCTCCTAAAATCTTTGTAATATTTTTGCGCTGATTTAAGTTGTTTTCAGTCGAACAAAGACGGTATTAATCAGTTAATCAAATTTGACTCACATATATGAGCCATTTGCAACTTTATTGTACAATTGGTGAAAAATGATGAAAATGACTTTAAACAAAATTTGATTAGCACATCTTGTTCTCCGTAGTTTTCTGAGTCTAGAACCCAAATTTCCCGACTACTACATGCGTAGCGACTGAGATAAACCTCAACAAACTTCGGCAGATTCCGTTCTCTAGATTTTAGGCTATAATGATCTCGAGGTTGCTTTAAAAGCGGATATATCATACACCATTCGATAGATCTCGTAGAGAGCTATTGATTCATACCATATGTAACGTAGTCTGACCTGCACAGCAAACGTTAGATCGTTAAAACCCTAATTTCGAATGTGTATTCAAAAAATAAAACGCAAAGCTTGTAGCCTACAGGTGGTCAACCACTTTGGAGAAACTCGATATCAAAACTACGTAAATTTATGAATAGATAGGTTCAGCAGAATATAAGGAGTCAAAATTGATGTTATAACTTGGTTTTTGACTAAAACCGAAAAAACTTTTAGAGTAATCTCGATCTACATTTCGCGGTATATTGTAATTTTTTCCTACTTAGGTATGTTCTAGAGACTTGCAGATTGCACCACTTGTACAACTTGTGACACTCTTTCTTGTGGGTCAACGCTGCTGCAGTCAGGCAAATCCTTGTAAAACAGCGGATGTCAAAAGTTGGAAAATCTTGATCTACAAAGTGAACGTAAAACTCTGTTTTCCATTTTTTCGCCCAGTAAGAAAGACATTTAACAAAGCATTTTCACTCAGTTAGATGCAGCCGCCCTTGGTCTTTCTTATGAACACCTCACATTCCCAAAAAAATGTTTTCTCAAGTACCCAGTTTTATTTTTATCTCGATCTACAAGTTGTCTGTAAAACAATTTTCGCCATAGACGAGCATAAACAAAAAAACAAAACAAGCATGAAAGCACACAGTTTGATAGAGCATTAAATGCTCTACAAAACGTACTATTTGCTTTTTGCTTTTCGTTCCTTCTTTTGTTAGAAAAACTTACTTTTCTCTCAATAACTCATCTAAAAAACACGTTTTTTTCGACTTTTGCTGGATTTATCTCGGTGAGTTGTTGAGATATCGAGTTTAGATTTTCTGTGGTAGTGAAGCAAGCAAACAGCGATAAAACAAAAAAAATAATCTCGAAATCCGTTTTCAGAAACCGGAGTAATTTTAAAAATACGACAAAAACTCAATTGTACAATAAAGTTGCAAATGACTCATATTTACTAATGTAACAATTTTCTTAAGGTACATTCCTCATCAATTTCTACTACAGATAATGTAATTGCGAGTGAGCTCTTGTTTACTTATGAATTTCTATGGGTACTTGGTAATTATTTTCATAAAATGACACTTGATCATTACTTATCCAAGTACGTGGAAGTACTTGGCAAAACACTTGATTTACTTGTTCTAACGGGTGTGACAGAAATAATTGCGCTTTTTTGTTTTCATTATAACTTTTTCAGTTTTTATCCGATCGAGTCAAACGTTTTTTAAAAAGATTTGTCGTTTCATTGTCTACAAAAAACATACTGAACATTTTTTTATATACTTCAGAAATAAAGGAAGATAGATGAAATACTGCGAAGCTTCAGTTTCCATTACTTTCTAACCCAAAACACAACGAAAAGATATTTATTGTGAACATGAAGCTATGCAGCAAACTAGAAAAAAAGGTATGTGGTAGTGTCATGAAGTATCGTCTTTCTTGTCATGTATCAGAGGTTGTCTTTGAACGTGTTTTTCTGATATAAAATGCAATTTTACTACAGTCTACCAAAAAAAAGGAAAATTTCCATCTTTTTGCCTTGCCAGCGGAAATGAAATGGAGCTGTCGAACTTCCTCTGTTCGGATGTAATAGAAGAATTAATCTGTTTTAAGATAAGACATACCGAATCTCAAAATATGTGATTTTGACCGATTTATAAAACTTTTCGCAAATGCCACGAAAACTGCAGTTTGAAAACGGCGATTTTTGATAAAATCGATATAAGCAAAAATTTCTCCTGCAACGAATTGCGATTATCAAGAGTTTTAAACGTACCCAACTGGTAGAGCTTTTCAAGGGCTACAAAACGGTCATCTTCTCTTATTCTGTATCGCAAAGTACAAAGAGCTAGAACTGAAAAACTGTTTTTTTGCGTTAGAAAGTAATGGAAATTGAACCTTCGCAGTATTTCATCTATCTTCCTTTATTTCTGAAGTATATAAAAAAACGTTCAATATGTTTTTTGCAGACAATGAAACGACAACTCTTTTTAAAAAACGTTTGACTCGATCGGATAAAAACTGAAAAAATTATAATGAAAACAAAAAAACGCAATTATTTCTGTCACACCCGTTACCTCCGGCAGAAACTAACGGGTTACTTGAGTAAGTACTTGGTCAAGTATGGCTTTCTTGACGAGTACTTGATCTACTTGGAAAAAATCCCAGGAATGTCGGAGAAAGCTTGAGAGAGTAGTTAGGCAAGTATTTGTGTGCAAGCATATTCACCAGTACATTCTATAATCGTAATCTAATAATTTCCCCTGTTAGATAATCGCACAAAATGAACAAAAAAACGTTTCTTCATCCCTCAAGTCAATTTCAGCACGATGTCGAATGACAAATCTCGTTAACGACACTACACTGAAATACTTACACGTATCAATAGAGAACTATGACTAAATTTTCTCAGTTATCATGAGAGAATGATGCTAAGAAGATTCCACTTACGTTTTTAGTTTTATAAACAGGAATTACCACCAATTACATGTAGAATGAGGTAGATCGATACGACATGTTATTTTTATTTTCTCTTTGCGTATATTCTACGGATAAATTCATATTTCGTTGTAGATAATAAATGACAATAAGGATGGTAATATAATTGATTTTGATTATTATTATTATTATTATTATGAACATTCATCAGTATTTTCCACTAAACAGTAGGCGTCTGACTGGTTCTCTACAGTCAAACAGTCTGTCTATTTTAATTAATTTATAATTTATTGTAATGGCATATATTTTATACGAGTCAATTTGTAATTATAAAAACTATCAATACAATTTACAAGTAAATATCGAACAGTACGATGGTGGTAAAGATAAACAACAACGGGAAACAAGTTTAAATGAGCTAGTCACAAATGAAGCATCGATTGATCCAGTTCAAATACAAATTATTGCTCCATCAACAAAAATTTTATTTATACCAATTAATCAAAGATCTAATAGTTCAACATCATCAGACATTCCATCAATTATTCCTTTGAGACAGTTAATCAATATTCATCAAATAGAAAAGAGAGAAAAGAATGGCAATGGATTTTTTAGTTCGTTGCCAAGATTTTTTGAAAAAAATCAGCTAATTAGAACACAAATCAAGTCTGAATCAAATTCAAATAGTCTAAATTCTAGTGCAACAAACGAGAATGAGATACCATTAAACTTATCGCTATCGAATGTTGTCAACAAAGATCCAGAAGCATTTTCTCATATCTACATGAGACAAACCAATGAGCTATCAGAGTCAAATGAACAGTCAACGACGTCTTTAAAACGTAGTATTCTTACGACAGATGAAGAGAATGTTGAAAATAATGATGAAGAACAAAAATCGAAAACATGCGTTCAACTAACATATATAGATATAAAAAGTCCATTTCAATGGCTATTAAAACATTTAATTATTGAATTACAGACAGAAGCAGAAGCAAAAACATTTTGCGTCTATTTAACTAAATGTTTATCGATACTTAAAGAACGACCAAGACATTTATTAGTGTTTGTTAATCCGTTATGTGGAAAAGGTAGGCATATATGACCTATCAAACGAGAACTTTGATAACTACTACTACTACAATCATTAAACAACTACGGATAATGAATCTTCACGGTTAGGATAATAACTCGTAAGTCTCCATTAGTATTTCTGAAGAGTCGATGATATTCTCCGATATCTTTTTTTAACTCACTGACACGTTCATCGTCTAATTTTTATTTATTTTTCAGGAAAAGGACATTCAATATATGAAAATAGAATAATGACATTATTCGATGAAGCACAAGTAAATGTTGATACAATTTATACGGAACGTGCGAATCATGCTCGTGATTATATTCTTGATCAAGAATTAACGAAATATGATGGTATTATTGGGGTTGGTGGTGATGGAATGTTTTCAGAATTATGTCATGGATTGCTGTTGAAAACAGTTCAAAACTCAAATTTAGATATTAACGATCCACGAGTTAATTTAATACGACCAGAAACACGTATCGGAATAATTCCTGCGGGCTCTACGGATGCAGTTGTATATGGAACAACTGGTATGAATGTAAGTGGATGAGATACTAAAAAAGTACAAATCTCGTTTTTTTTGAAACATTCTTATATAATACTGCGTGTTTAATACTTTTTTTTTAAAATTAGAAAATTCCAATTGCAAACATATTTATTAAACTGTTGATGGTATCTTTATATCTTTCTCTTAAAATAGGATCCAGTCACTAGCGCATTACAAATTATAACAGGCGAATCATTATTAATCGATTTAACCACAATTCACAGTGAACAAGGTTTTGTACGGTTTATGGCGACCATGTTGGCTTATGGTTTTTTTGGCGACATAATCAATACGTCGGAACGTTGGAGATGTTTGGGACCATTCCGCTATGATTTGGCCGGTTTTAGACAGTTCGTCCGCAATAAATCTTATCGATCTCACTTATCCATAACACTTTCACCAAATGATTCAAGCTTACATCATAGTGTTGAATTAGATACATCACAGCCATTACAAGAAACAACAAAGAGACAACAATTTTTTCAGAATACAGAAACCGATGATAGTTTGAAAGAAATTGTTACACCACGAGCACAATTTTGTAACAGGAATTGTGATAAATGTTCGATTAATGATATTGAAACTGATGGTGAATTGCGTTTACCATTACAAATAGAAAAACAAGGACAATACACAACAATTAATTGTTTAAATATGCCCTGTAGATGCAAAAAATCAAAATATGGAATGTCACCATTTGTACATTTAGGTAGGATTTTTAAAAATAGTCATAAAAAAAGTTAGGTTACCATTGCTTATCTTCTGTAGCAGTCGTCTGTAAAGAACATACACTGTGATAAAGAATAAAAATGCTTGAATATGACTTATGAAAGACAACTAGCATGCTAACATCCCTCACTTAGTTACCTTTTCAATCTCATTAAAAAATACAATAGGAATCCGTTGTTTAGGTGATGGTTCATTTGATCTTATTCTTGTTAAACGTTCATGGCGAACAGGCTTTTTACGATTTTTATGGCAGGTAGCTAATGATAGTCGTTATATTAATCAATTACCAAACGTTGAACGCTATCGTGTCAATGAAGTTTTAATTAAACCCGAATTAGCTCATTCAGAACAAGCTGGTAATTGGTCGTGTGATGGTGAGTTAATATCGGGAAATAAAATTCAAGTGCGTGTCCATCGTCAGATATTGAATTTATTTGCACGAGGTATTGAATTTCAACAAGTTGAAAATACGAAAAAATTAAAAAAACCATTTTTCTCGAGTTTTTGGAATAAAAATAAAAAACAAACAAACGCTAATGTGTAACAAACACTAAATGATGTGTAGAGAGGTGTGATTTTAGAGAAATCATTTTAATTGGAATTGCTGAGTTTTCTTTTTTGTTTGTCTTGTTTCTCTCTTTGTTATTTTCTATCTGAGAAGATTGTAATATAAAAATAAAAGTCATGAACGTTTTAAATGAACTTAAACAATAGATTTCCTAGATGTTTAGTTAGATTTGCCCAAAATATGTTCATTAGTAATATCTTATTCTCAAAATCGTACACTTGCTTTTTTTCAATAATGAAGATCACCAATCAATCAGTAAACTTGTTCTCAAAATATCACAGCATTTTCTATTTCAAAAAAAGATAACTTAAATGACGACCTCAAGGATCCAGATATTCATCTGACACGTGTTTGTTGTCGATTAAGATGTCTACCTAGACATCTTTAATCGACAACGAACACAACTTATACTCGAATCGAAACTCAAAATCTTACCGATATATACTCTGCCCGTACCCTTACACAAAACAAAAGTACTGAAAATTTAGAATTTTTATTATTCTAACCAAATGAGAAAAAAATAAGTCTGAATTACAGTTTCTAATAAAAAACCAAATCATCAATGGTGTTTGGATTCAATAATTCTCTTCTTGAGTCAAGAACTCTTCCTGTTTCTCTGAATATTCGTTCAGATGCAGCTGAACGCGTCCCCGAAATCGTCTTTTCCAAGATAAGAGAAAAAATTGTGCTTGTGCCGAAATCGTTCTCATACCAGTAAACCATGGATCCGTACTCATCTTCACTTCGGTTTGCATATCTCTATTGTGGATTATGAACGGAAAAAAGAATTTTGAGTAAATTTGTGAAGTTATCACACCCCATGAGATAATTTTATCACTCGAACGAAAGTTCCAATGCGTCTGAAATCAGTTAGAGTGTATTAAAAAAATTTGAAGTAATGTGTTGGAGCGAGTTAGAGACATCTCTCCAACGTGTGTGAATACGTTCAGTTGTACATTCGCCAATTTCGAAAACTAGAAAAGTACGTTGAAACGTGTGCAAATAGTCGAACGCATTAGAACGAGGGCAAAAGTGGCAGAAAGTTACATTCTAACATGTTACAACGCGATGAAATCGGTTAAATCAGCTTGTTCCAACGCGTTCCAGTTAAAATTCTATCAAACTTGATCAATCTTTCTAAACGCGTGGGAACATGCTGTGTATCGTACACGTTCTAACACGTTAGAGTAAGGAACGTGTTGGAACAAGTTGATCTGACCAATTTTACCGCGTTGTAAATCGTTCTGAAACCCTTTCAAGCCCGTTTAGACTTCAACTCGTTGTACTTGTCAGACATTTATTCTCCTACTTCTTCAACTTTATTTCATTGGCGATTAGTTTTCTTTCGACAGGCCCCGAGAGCCCCAGAGATTGGTCGCGAGACCAATCAGGCGAAGTCTGCTTGATACTGTGGCTCAGCACTAGACTAACTACTTACTACAGGAAGAGAAAGACTTACAAAATTTTCAGAGTTGAAGTATTTTATACAACATATTACACGTGGAGCACGACATGCTAAAGATGTGCACATATTTCAAATTTTTGAAAAAAACTACTTCATTTTCAACAAAGTTTTGATCATCTGTGTGCAACAAACAAGCACTACGAGGAATTTCATGATCCTACGTGAAACTGCATATTGAACTTTGGTACGGTGTGAGGTATTCGAAGTCTGTGATAAATCCTCTATAACGTTGGAGGTGGGTCCAACATAGCCCGGGAGAAAAAAACAACCTAGCCGGTGCGGTGACTCATTCTTTTTAACCGATAGAGTCCTTATGTCCACTATAGTGGACATAGCCTTGAAGTTATATTTTAAACAAATATTGAGTGGAAGAGGCACTTATTATATGTATTCTTGTAGCTCATAAAGAGCTCTATCTACTAGCAATATTAATTTTTTA